GTGAATTTTTAACCGGTACAATAAAACAAACACACACACACACACACACACACACACACACACACACACACACACACACACACACACTCAGACCCCATTCACACTGAGCGACATGGAAATCGCGCGACATTGAGCGACGTGTCGCGCGATGTCTTCCTATTGGGCTGTATGTAATCAGGAGCAATATCGCTCAAAATCGCTCTAAAAAAGGGTCATGTAGAAGCGACAAGCTACCAGCGACGAGCTACAAGCGATATTGAGCGATATTGAGCGACGAGATGTGAACAGCTACATTGAAATGTATTGGTGAAGCTACATAGAGCGATATAGCGTGGAAATATGAGCGATATCGCTGCAAAAATCGCGCGATAAATCGCTCAATGTGAACGGGGCCTTAGGCGTCACGTGAACATGCCCCTTAAGTGCATGCATGGGCGCATGTTCACGTAACTTGTTGAAAATGTGTGATGCGCTTGTGCTGCCATTACTTGTTAATGGCACCCCAAAGGTGCCCAGTAAAACGCACGTTTTTACCTGTGCACAAATATGTGGTCAAAAACCGCATGACGCTTGCAACTGAAACTGCTTCAGGCTAGGTTCACATCTGCACTACACCGCACGACACCCAGGACAGGTGTCGTGCAGTCCTGCACGATGCAGGCAGCGATTGCTGCGCAGCCCCATTGATTTCAACGGGGTGACATCCGCATGGCAATCACAGAAAAAGGGTACACGTACCTTCTTTTTGTAATACAGGACACGCGCGGCTGTGTTCAGAAGCACGGGTGGAATGGCGGCGGGAAACCGTGCTATCCGCCCACAGCGCAATTGGTTTACACTTTGGCGACTCCTGACCGTGCGACAATCCGCGTGGAATCGTGCACGATTGCAACGCGGTGAGGTGTCGCCTAGGTGTGAACCTAGCCTCATGGGCTGCCTTGCTGCGCATGTGGCAGCCCATTGCAATTAATGGGCTCACATGGCAAACACGGACCAACGTGACGCGCAGTCACGTGCGACGTGGGTGTATGCGAAGTATGAATGGGGGACTAAAAGGGGTTAAAGATGTAATCCTGTTTATTTGTGATGCTCTAGAACTTAAGCAACGAGGAGGAGGAGGAAGAACAGCACGGGGCGACTGTTGTTGCTACAGGCGATGACTTCTGACGACCAGGCGGCTGTAACACAAGACCTTCAGAAATAGGGAGCTGGCGTTTCCGGTGAGCGATGAATCTGATGGGGATTTGCGTTACATTACAAGTGTCGCTGTCAGGGAACCATCATTATTCTCCGGTAACCTGGGAGTGGGCGGATGAGCTGCGGATGGACGTCAATATATACAAGCGCGGTGTTGATATTTGACTGGTAGCGATGAATAACAAAGACTGTGTCAGGCAATTCCTCCTTAGAGTGTGTTTCCACTTTTGCAGCCAAATTGGGATAACACCCACTTTATATGAGGTACATGTTCCCAATCACAGCGCCTGACCTAAATAAACATAAAAAGCTGCTTGCACAAAACATGATGAATAATGAAAAAAAAAAGTTGTTCTCTGTAATGGACGGTCCTCTGCAATACGGGGGAGGGGAATATTACCATAATGAACTGTACTGTGCTGGCAGATCTCATTAAGACTGGAGCAGTTGCCAATGGCAACCAACCTTTCATTGTCAACAAACTGAAGATAGAAGCTAATTGGGCAGCGGCTCCAGATTCTGTCTGCTCCAGTTATTGATAAACTCCCTCCATTGCATGTTAATAGGCGGAAGCTGTCTTTAGTTGCCCTTTCCCACCAGATGCAGTGCGTTCCGGCCCGATTCTGCATTGCGGCCGGCTCACTATGCTGTGGGGCAGGAGGGGGCGTGGCGGTCCATCTAAGTGAATGGCACCGTAGCCACACCCTCCGGCCGCATGGGATCGCAAGGCACGTCTTCTGATTGGACAATGAAGAACTGGCATACTAATACATTCATCTGTTCAGTGTGTCTACACATCCAGCTCAGTGACCTCACTCTCCTCCACCACAGTTAGGAAAATCAGCTTGGTCACTGACTCCCATCAGGAAAATGAAGGAGTAGCAGCACACTGTTTAAGTCAGAACTCGTCTCTTTCCTCATGTCAACAAGCCCCCAATTATCAGCTGGTCCCCTGATCACTGGTCCTGATATCCTGCTTTAGGGTGACTCCTTTCCTTTGCAGGGTCCTATGGAGCCACCCTTGCATGGGCTTTCCCTTGTAGGGTCCTATGGAGTCACCCTTGCGTGTGCTAGTAAGCTGTGTATATATTTTTTTAAAGTCACTCCCACTACAATAGAATTTCAAGTCAAAAAGGGTTTATTGACTCGATTGCCATCACATCATATAGCGACATTTCGGAACAGCCGAAAAGTAAGCTGTGTGTCTCCACAGAAACAGCAAGGAACCCATTCCCGTTCCCTGTCCCATCCCTTCACCATGCTAGTAGATGGACGGCTGCTGGAGACAGCTCTGTCCCTTGTGATCTCATACTGGACAGGAAGTTCAGGGAAGCAGAGCTGAGAGAGTTGGAGCAAGCACATGCCGACTAAGTGTGACTAAGAAATCCCTTATGCGTATGATCTGGATTCATTCATAAAAAAGTGGGCCCCTAGGCAACACCCACATATGATGCCGAGCTTCCATGATTGACAATAATGAAGTACGGTGAATGACAGGGGAGGGCCAGGGATAGGCTGGGGGGGAAAGAGCTAGATCAGGGTAGGCAAACTCCCCCCGCTTTGCTTCAACTACAAATCCCAGCATGCCTCTGGGAGTCATGTCTGTAATGGTCAGTCTTGCAATGCCTCATGGGACTTGTAGTTCCAAAACAGCTGGAGGGGCGAAGTTGCCTGGCTAGATGCCGGACATCCTCCAGCCAGGAAATGAGATGGGTTTACCCGACTTGTCGCAGCTTCTAATGCACACTGAGAGGCTCACCATCCCCCCACATTACAGGGGAGCAATGTCACGTCACCCAGAAAAGCCACACACAGGCCGAGCTGTGCAGGAAGTGGCCAGACAGAACCATTCATTGGAGGTATGTCTGTCTATATCTGGGGTAGGTAAATCCCGACACGCCAGCTGCTGTGGAACTACAAATCCCATGAGGCATTGCAAGACCCTGCCAGCCACAGACATGACCCCCAGAGGCATGATCGGATTTGTAGTTAGCCCACCCCTGGTCTATGGGCAGCCAAACAGCAGAGCAGCGTCGCCGTTAGAATATAGCTCTGTCGGCGGCGGCGCTGGCATGGTGTTCCATGATGAATGTGTGATTCCTCAGAACACACAGCGAGCTGGAACACGCCTGGAACCAGGAGGGAAGAGGTGAGGGGGAGGTGGGATGCCGAATATTTTGGCCTACATAACGTTCACAGACCTGAACGGAGGTTGGGGAGGGACGTCTGGCTGCCAGAGGCAGCTGCAGAGCGTCAGCTCTTGTGCCCAAGAGAGGACGCAATTCCGTATTTCTGTTTTCCAATGACACTGCACACAGACATACATTGCTTGCTATTGAAGAACTACAACTCCCAGCATACTCCATATATCCTGTATATCTCTGGCAAGCTGGGACCTTAGAAGACAGAGAAACGCAGTCCCAGCACAGAGGAGGGTAGCAATTTGCCACAGAAACTAACAATCTAAAGCTGGACACACACTATACCAGGGGTGGGCTACCTCTGGCCCATCGGCTGTGGTGAAACTACAAATCCCATCATGCATCTGCCACTGGGGAGTCTTGCAATGCATCATGGGGTTTGTAGTTGCATTACAGCCGGGCTGGAGTTTGCCTACCCCTGCACAATCTCCTCTCTTGCACTACATAGTCGTTGGCAGATCTAAAAGGAGATTGTATGGTGTATGATCAGCCTGATGTGTATCCAAAAACATATTGCACCTTCTCTGGGTGTGGTGACGGCATTCGTTTCCACCTGGCGATCCTTCCTGTGCTAGACTGACAACTATTACTCGCCCCCCGGTATGGAGGATAAGCGTTGTCAACCTACGCTGCTCTCATGACTTGATTCTTTACCCCCATTACAGAGAGAGGAGATATTTTATAATAAATAGCCGGGATGAGTTCAGGGTACAGGAAGGAGGTGGAAGGTGATCAGGAAGATTCTGGAAATAAAAAGAAAAGTAATGCAGCCGGCACATGCGAGGACAGGAGAGCTGCACCATGTGACCTCATTCCTCTGTCAGGTTTACATGACACTGCGAAAATGTACCCGAGCAACACGTCACACGGCTACCCAGGTCTGCAGACCCAGAGCCTTTCCCTTACACAGCATGACTGGATTCTAGAAGGAAAAAGGAAGGAAAAGCGGGGAGAAGAAGGGAAAAAGGAAGGAAAAGCGGGGAGAAGGAAGGAAAAAGGAAGGAAAAGCGGGGAGAAGAAGGGAAAAAGGAAGGAAAAGCGGGGAGAAGAAGGGAAAAAGGAAGGAAAAGCGGGGAGAAGAAGGGAAAAAGGAAGGAAAGAAGGTATATCTGCAAACTGTCATTTAAAGCAAAGACAGACATGTGCAGTCTGGGATTGTCCCTGGAAGACAAGGGCAGCTGCCAGCACTGCTTTCCTTCAACAAGTCCTGAGATGAATATATATACATACATACATACATACATACATACATACATACATACATACATACATACATACACACACACAGCATATACACACAGCATATACACATACACACGGACTATACCCTCTACAAGGAGGCTCCTCAGTAAATCACACTGACATCCAGGAGCCACAATGAGGATCTCTGTGTATGAGGACCGCTGACACACATCGCTCGGGATCGGTGACCATATCCACATATATCGCACACAGACATCCAGGGATGCGATCATTTAAAGAGACCTTGTGAGAGCGGCATGGATGACCAGACAGGCAGGTAAAGGAGGGGACAGACAGACAGATCCCCGGGTATCCCGCACACACACACGGTGCCACCCCAATAGATGCCCCGGTGCTCACCTTGTCCTGACCCACAAAGGGGTGTTCCCTGATGTCCTATTCCCCGGGGACCCCCCTCACACAGAGGGGGGGGTGACGGCGGTATTTGGGAAGTCAGTACCCCCCGGCCCCCTTCTCACTTTTCGGTGCAGCCCCCCGATGCCCCGGGCCGAGAAGTTTGCCTCTCCTTGGATTGAGGTTCACGCCCGGCCGGCAGCTGCACCCTCCTCCCCACAGTCTGCGCTGAGCCCTCCCCTTGTGGGTGTGCGTGTACCAGAGCCCGCCCCCGTCTGTCTGACTCAGCCTAGGAGACGCCTAAGTGGGTGTCAATCACTGACCGAGCCCGCCCCTTCAGGCGGGATGTTGTAAAGCCCGCCTCCATGTATCTGACTGAGCCCGGGAGACGCCCACGAGCTGTCACTCATCGCCTAAGCCCGCCCTGGTCACGTGTGCCTACCCTCTCCTGCAGCCTCATACATCAGAGAATCAGTGTGTCCTAAAGTGTCAGCGTACAGTGGGAACGCATGTTAGATGTAAACCCTAAAAATTCACATTATATCATAAAAATGCTAATTTTCTTTATATAGTATCTTTTTTTCATCATCTGTTGCTCCTGGGTGGTACTGATCGCCTGCAGCCTATGTGCAACTACTTGCGCGTCAGCCATAACCGCGTAGCATTTCTCAGGGTTGGTGTCCTAATGGTGACAATAGCGGACCATGCCTGGGTAAGGTGTTGAAACATCCATTGGAAAACCATGTGACGGTGACAACGCAGGAGCACAGTTGGGAGAAAGAGACAGAGTGTTGTCACCCTACAACAGGAAGTGCTTAGGAAGGTTCTTTCAATGCAGAATAGCCAGGTTTCATTTATAAGCTGCAGATTAAAATATAGTGAAGATGGCATTAGAAATGATGTTAAAGTGACCCTGTTAGAAATTAAAACAACACTCCCCTGCAGGGGAAAAGGTACTATACTCACCAAACTGATGGACCACGTCTTCTACCTCACCTCCATTCTAGAGCCGCATCCTCTGTCAGTCTCTTTAGCATTTGAAACTTGCAGAAGCGTCGAATGTAAAGAGCCTTTGCCCCTATGTCAAGGGTAGGCAACCTTGGCCCTCCAGCTGTTGTGGAACTGCAAGTCCCATGATGTATTGCAAGATCTGACAGCCACAGACATGATGGGATTTGTAGTTTGGATTGCTGAGGTTGCCGATCCCTGCTCTATATCATTGCTAAGTAGGGGTCAGAGGAAGAGACTGACGGAGGCTGCATTTTACAGGAGGACGCCCATATCCCGAGAGTTTTAGAGAACAGCGGTGCCGGCTGACAGGGGTGCAAGGAATAAAGCTGGCCACAAATTGGAGCCTTGTTCTCATTTAAAAGAGAACTAAAGCCGAGCCTTGTTTCTGTGTTTAGTTCTGTTTCGGGTCACAGGAGGATATTTACTAATGTACAACTGTGGCCCAAATTCAGCATAGCTGGTGTCATAGCTGATCACATGTGCAGCACCATGGCAACTGCAATCCAAATAGAGGCCAATATACCACCTTCTTTGGCTATAGGGGATAGGAGTTCCACTTTAAGTACATCGTAACCTGTATCTTTAGGCCTAACCTTTTGTGTGAATGTGTTTGGATAGAGTAGGGAAGAACAGAGTGTCCCCATTGGGACACTCTCTACTGGTGACTATTGTCCCCAAGAAAGAAAGAGGAAATTCCAAACTTTGTGCCAGAACACACTGGACATGGTGTGACTGGGCCCTCAGAATCGTCCCCAGAACAAAAAGTAAAGGAAGATCTTCCAGTGGGGACACCCCTTCTGCAGGGCCGGATTTACTCTCTCTGCTGCCCCAAGGCCAGGTTCCTCAATTTACTTTTTGACCTGCCGGCTGCATACAAGTGATCTCGGCGACATTGTCGAGATCACTTGTACAAAATGAACGATGACTTCCCATGCTCTACATTCAGCCCTGCTGCTTGCCCGAAGTATGACTAAATGTAGAAAAAAGCTACCCGCCTGTTGCCTGGAACTGCATGTCCCGGGTGTCAGGCTATAGGAATTCCACACCCCTGCTGCCCCTCTACTCGCTGCTGCCCCGAGGTCTGGCCTTGTGGGAAACCCGGCCCTGCCCGTCTGGGAACAACTCCCTGAGAAGGGAATTCCCCTTACTTGGGGAGACATACTTCCTGTTATGCCTCTGGGACAGGAAGTGAAGAAAAAATAGTACATGGCCAAAAAATTAACTGGTTATTAAACAGTTCCCTACTCTACCTAAAACTAAAAAATTACAGCACCCATTCTACTCCGCCAATGCCCGCTATGCTTAGTGGCTGTGAATACCAAATCCCGCCGCCCTCGCCAGCCGTTATAAGCGAACACTTGAAAACCTTACTACATAGCCCCGGAGGCTGTGTGACATCATAATGCATACAACGGATAGAGGCCATTGGTCAGTGTGGTCATGTGACTAATGAGAGCCTTTTCTGAGGCTTCTTTCTTCCGGGACAGCACCCTGTAAGAAAGAAGAGATTCTCATTGGTCAGCACGGTCAGGTGACAAACAAGAATCTCTTCGGAGCCTTTTTTTTGCCTAGGACGGCTTCCTGGGAGAAAGAAGATATTCTTATTGGTCAGCGCGATTGTATGACCGATGAGAATCTCTTCTAAGCCTTTCTTTCAGGATGGCGTCCCGGAAGGAAAAATATATTCTTATTGGTCAGCATGATCATGTGACTGATGAGAAATTCTTCTGAGCCTTCTTTCTTTCGTGATGGCGTCCCAGAAGGAAGAAGATATTCTCATTGGTCAGCACGGTCAGGGGACTGGGACTCGGGACTTTTTCCTGGGATGGTATCCTGGACGAAAGAAGATATTCTCATTGGTTAGTGCAATCACATGACCAATGAGAACCTCTTCTGAGCCTTCTTTCTTCCAGCATGGAGTACCGGAAGGAAGAATATATTTTCATTGGTCAAATCGACCATGTGACCAATGAAAACCCTTTTTGGGCCTGCTGTCTTCCAGGATGGCATCCCGGAAGGAAAATTTTATTAATCACCGCGATCACGTGACCAATGAGAACCTTTTCTGGGCTTGTTGTCCTCCAGGATGGCATCCTGGAAGGAAAATTATATTAATCAGCACAATCACGTGATCAATGAGCATTTCTCTGGAGCCTTCTTTTTTCTGGGATGGTGTCCCAAAATAAAGAAGATATTCTCATTGGTCAGCGGTCAATAACATGACCAATGGGAACCTCATATGAGTCTTCTTTGTTCCAGGATGCCATTCCAAAAGAAAAGAGATGTTCTCATTGGTCAGCGTGGCCATGTGATTTCTAGCAGTATTCTTCTATGCTGCCTCCAGGGCTGTGCAGTGAAGTCTTCAAGTGTCCGGACCATTACATTGCCTGGCGAGGGCGTCAGGAGATGGCATTCCCAGCAGATATGAGTGCAGCGGGGAGTGGAGAGGGGTTTGTGACTTTAATCTTTTATGGAAAGGTAAACTTACCCATTAAGGGCTTGTTCACACGATGTCCGGATTCTGTCCGGACCAGAACAGTTCTCTCCTGCACTAAAAATGCATCCCAACGTATCCCTATGTGTTTTATGGGCTCCAGTTCTCACCAGCAAAGTCCGTTCTGTTCCGGACAGAAAAAATACTGCATGTCACGAACGCGTGAAAAACTCGCCGAAAACGCGCCGCACTGCAGTGCACAGCTGACAGCCCCACTCCACAAAAATAAAGGAACTGGAACGTGTCCGGAACGGGGTAAAAACGCGCATAGCACCAGATCTGGACCAGAAAATGGTGTGAACAAGCCCTAAGTCTCATCACAGCACCCAGCGAGAGACAAGCTACCCACACACCTGGCGAATGTGCAGCCAAGAAGACTGAACCCCGCGCCTGCAGGGGAGGCCATAACCTGCTAATGTAACAACATCCTGCCATTTATGTTTTTTATTTACTATGCCGACGGGGTCATTTTTATTTTCGACCATGTGACCGCCATTTTTCAAATTGTATTGGACTCAGCTATAAATAATTGGATGAAATAAGCAATCTTCATCCTGGGGCTGTGCGTCAGCCTGTTTGTATTTAGGTCACAAGAAACACCAAATGGATCTGCACGAGAAGACCATAAAATAAATACAATGCAAACGTCAATACATTGTACTGACTTTTATTTCTGGCTGTATTATAGTATCAGATAAATGTCACTTTATACCGGCTGCCCATAAATGTCTGGGAGCGCAGCATCCCAATCAGATGTTAGACAACTTCATTATCCGCCAGTCAATGCACCCCTCCCTCCCTACCCGGGTCTGTCTGCCCCTCCCCCAGCCTGGTCCTCTGCTAGTGTCTATTCCTATCAGATCTGCTCTTTTTGTTGATCTTCTTTATGTGCTGCGCCCCTCCTTCTTTTGCATCTCTCCCCCCCCCCCCCCCCTTTTTTTGTTTTTTTGCATCCCTCCCTCTCCAAATCTTCCTCCCGTCATCTCTTCTCCTGCCCAGTCTGAGCCCCTCTTTCCTGCTCCTCTCATTCTTTCCTGGTGAATAGAAGTGTTGATTGATTGAATGTTACACATCCGCCTAGTAGGCATACACATGTAGGCATCTCTGAGTGCATCGCGGTCATCATGGCATTCCGGGGGGAGGTGTCTTAGCACAATCAGAAATAGCAGACAGATTAATCAGACCATGTAGGAATGAAATGGCAAATAACAAATGATGAGATCAGTTGTCACCAGCGGGTGTAAAGTTGGGTGCACGTGGATTGATTTTTGTCCGATTCAGCAGGAATTCCACAAATGTCGCTTGTTACGTTGACTTTTGTTGAAAGGATTTATTGGATGGACACTGCTTGCAGCAAGTCACGGGTATTCTGACAGCTCTGCTGCAAGAACTGTGCAGGTATTCTGACAGCTCTGCTGCACAAACTGTTCAGGTATTCTGACAGCTCAGCTGACCAAACTGTTCGGGTATTCTGACAGCTCAGCTGCAAGCAAGAACTGTTCAGGTATTCTGACAGCTCAGCTGCAAGAACTGTTCTGGTATTCTGACAGCTCAGCTGCAAGAACTGTTCGGGTATTCTGACAGCTCAGCTACAAGAACTGTTCGGGTATTCTGACAGCTCAGCTGCAAGAACTGTTCGGGTATTCTGACAGCTCAGCTACAAGAACTGTTCGGGTATTCTGACAGCTCAGCTGCAAGAACTGTTCGGGTATTCTGACAGCTCAGC